CTACTGCTACGGCTACTGCTGCTGCTGCTGCTGCGCTAAAACTGTTGCTGTTGTTGCTACACTTCTGCTATCTTTAGCATGGTGATCTTGGATACAACGCTATCCTTTACAATTCAGATAGCACCACCATATAGCACATCCTGTACCTCCGGCAGGGGCTGTCAAGGCCCTCGCTGGAGACTGGAAGAAAGCCTCAGAATTCAAAGGGAAAGTTCTCAAAACTCTGACATTCCGGCAATGAGCTTTTCGGGAGTTGCCAAGCAGGGGACGCTTCTTCCAAGACTTCCAGGACCCGTTCCCACTCACCTGCCTGGCAGAACCGCGGTGGAGCCAATATTCGGCCAACGTATTCACAAGACCGCCTCGCGAACCGCTGCCATCACATGGCTGTAGGTGACGACGTCGGGATTCAAGCGATGATAATGAACATCCTGCTTATGGGGCAGAGGTGCCTCTCATGGGGACATTGGGCCATCGAGGCCGGAAGAGGTTCGGAACACTTTGGGCCACGGGCCTTGAAGAGTTGTTCAACTAGTCCAGTATTCCGCTTCCTTCGGGACCCACTGCTCCCCCGAAGTCTGCGATCCGCTAGCCTGCAGCTGAGGACGGAACCGCAAGTGTCCAAAGCCATGGGCCTGGCGACCTGCAGCACCGCAACAGCCAAGGCTCAGCGCGACCGGGTGCGGCTGCAAACATCTCAGTGAACCGCACACACCCATTGCTGCGTTGAACAGCCCAACGTCCATCTCCACCCCGTCATCCTTAATTTTGGAGAGGAGCCACCTCAGTCGGAGCTTTGTTCCTACTTCGAATCCACTTGCCCCCGCTGATCGACTCTGGAGTTCCCGGCCGAGTCAGAGAGTGGCGATGCCAGGTTTGTGGGTTTTGGGGGATGCTGGCACACTGAGGCCGACACAATGACCAAGGCCACAAGAACTGGTCGCGATGGCACCTAAAACGAGTCTACCTTTCATGATCATGCACTTAATGTCACTGCTTCTGCTTGACCGCCTGTCATTCCTCCACGACTTAACACGATCACCAAGGACTGTGCCCTTGCCGGCGGCGAACATCGCCGAAGAATGTCATGCTGCGAGTTTCTCTGGCTCCCGACACCCATCGGCGGCACCCTATACGGTCTTTTTCACCACTCCCACCCTCACGCCCTGCAATTTCGTCCCTGCAAAGCTGCCCGCAGCCAATGCAATAGAAGGCTGTCCAGAGCCCCGTGCGCGGCCATCGCGGACATGTAGGTGAACCCGTTCTGCCTAGACATGGAAGATGTGTTGCAGCGCAAAGCGCCGGGTGCTCGAAGCCGAGCCTGACAGCTTTCTGCTGCAGGGCGCGCAAGAGCTCGATCGCGGACTCCTAGGAGCTGGGCTTGTCGAGCGGCCCAAACGCAGAAACACAAGGACTCAGCTCGACAGAATGCTAAACCGGGCGAAGATCTGGGTTGTCCCCGTTCGAACATGCTCGGATGGTCGAGGCCGAAATCACCTCCGACAGAATCTGAGGACCGAATTCATGGAAAAACTATGAAGCAAATGCCCACCGTCCTTCGACCCCTGAGAAGAAGCAAGAGAAGGTGCCTCATTCGGTTGCAGCTTGCTCGCCGACATCTCATCCAAAAGATGCAAAGCCAGCTCCCAGTGATCCTGAGACTCTGGACACGCACTCACCAGCCGCACACACTCATGTTGAGTATGCCTACTGTTCGCGCTGCTGCCGCAGCAGCCAGGACTTCCGCTCCTCGCAAGCGCTGATAGTTGCGCCGTAGGTCAGCTGATCCGGACCGGAAGGCAGCTTCCTTGCACACGCCAACTCGGACATTTGTCGCTCTGGTCTCCGATTACCACCTCAGCGGGAGCTAGTGTAAGGACCTTGCTTTCCTTCTTCGAGAAGCTGCAATGCCTGCCGCCGCTTTCACGCCAGGGAGGGAACTTCTGCCACGTCTTTCCCGCCTCGGCCCACTTCTTGCTGGATGCACAGGCAGAGATCGCGGTGTTGAAGGTCACCTCGTGTGCAAATCTGCGCTACTTGGACTCTCTTGGACTCGAGGTGACATCGAGGATCACACAACGTCGGGACGCGTGCCCCTCGATCTCATACCGTCGAGCACTTGCAGCGCCTGAGCCGGCCGATGAGCGGACAGCGTCGGGATGCCGAGAAAGCCGTGCCGCGTGCCTTCTCCCAGGATTCTTTGCTCAGGCCCGCAATGGCAGCGTTGCCTCTCGGCTGTAACATGGCTTCGGCCGGTTGATGCGTCGAAGAAAGGAGTGTAGGCAAAGGGCACGCCCGCACATCTGGGCAAATACCAGCTCGCTCCATGTCCCCCAGAAGCTGCAGACATGTCCTGAGTGCAAAGGCGCAACAATTTGGCGCAACAAGACACTCCACAACGACGTTTGAGCTCAGAGGGCGGCCTTCCCTCCTGAAACAAATGCGCTTTATCACCACGCTTTCACATCTGCTTTTGCACACCCGTCAATCAGTTGCAGCGTTCTCCTGGCACGCCGCGCACATGCTCATGAGCTTGTTGAAGAAGAATTCATCTGCTTGCACACCTTTGTACGGCTGCAGGGCGCTATAGCTACACTGCAGATCCGAAAGTGAACCAGCTTCCCGTCGCGGGATCGCTTCGGCTACATCTACTTGCTCAAGCCTCCTTCTGAGAGATTGCGGTAAGGGACATAGTATCTTGTCAATCTTGGGAGTTACAGCAGGAGACAGGAGCCCTGTCTTCATTTCCCTCCAATACGGACTGCTGTGGAACTGCATGCATTTGTGGCCTACTGGCTGGAGCTCAGACTTTGCTCTTTCCCTTTCATACTCTGGCATGGGACCTCCGGCATACTGAAGTCGAAGGCATCTACACATCACAGCACGCAAATTCTGCAAAGCAAGCAGGACTGGAAGGAAGAAGCGGCCCTACCAACACATCTCGGCGCATTACTCATTCTCACCATCTAACTTCTAAAAGCTACTAGCCGTGCCTGAACTTCACAGGCCTCACGGCAAGGAGTAGTAAGGTCTCTGCGTCTAGCGGTCATCCGTCCCAACCTCCAGCAGGAACATCTGAACCCAAGCAGCTTAACCCTCATAGCGTGCGGACACAAAGACGCGGGTCTGCTAAGGCGCAAACAAGTCGATTGCATGTTGCCACTGTTGCCGCATGCCTGTCAACACTTTTGTGATGGAGTGCTTCAACGAAGAATGCGGCGATGCTCCGTCTCCGAGGTCACCACCGAATTGGCTAAGCGCAGCCATGCAGTCCCTTGGTGCGATCAATCTCGCAATCCGTGCGATCCGTGATCTCCGTGCGATGGCCACAAAACCCGAAAAGATGGTGGAGCTTCCCGCAACCACGACCACTCGAGTCACTGCTAAACCATCACATGCAGTTGGACAAAGGACATTGGACGTTTTGCTCAAGCGTACAACGACGGGAGTCATGCACAGAACTCACTGAAGAACTGAAAATCGTGTGACTCTTCCACCGACAGAGCTCGAAGCAAAACGAGGGTTAACAAACCAAAAAGCATAGTGCGATCACGATATCCGAAGCCGGCATGAACAAGGGGACTCAGCGTTCCGAGGGCCAAGCGGGAAGCCCCCGAAGCCCAATCAAACGTGACAACAGCTCATACATAACAGTACTCACATGTACTCGTACTCGGAGTGGCCCTAAACCCTAAACATCCCTTCACCCAAACATTGTTGTAGTGAGATTTCCTCATATGGTTCCGTCTCTATCTCCCCCAAAACCCTAAGACTTGCCGCAATAATCACGATGTTCATCCCATTCCTCACACAGCCGAGGCCTTGCTGAAAGGCCAGGCAGGTCCAGCCTCAGCCGCAAGCGGCAGCAAAACATTGAGCTTCGTGCCCAGACAAAAGAAAGGATACCCCTTCAGGGGTTTATCAGGGTTTAGGATTTCCGGGTTTGGGGTTCAGGGTTTGGGGGTTTAGGGCTTAGGGTTCAGGAATGTTCAGACCATTCTTAGAACTGTTGGCGGATGCTACAACAAACTGCACTGTTGGGGAGCGGACAGGTCTGAGATCTTGTCGGAAGATGCTGCATAGTCCTGAATCCAGGCACTAGGAATCAGATTCCTCTGCGAATACGCATTGCAGCTACGAGTACACGCAACCCCCAAGCCCATCCATGTGCATGATGCCTGTTTTTCATCATGCTCTGCTCCGCCGCTAGGCGCCATATGGATGAAGATGAACAATGCAAGAGAGAGAGAGAGAAATGCATGTATGTATGTATGTATGTATGCATGCATGCATGCATGCACGTATGCATGTATGCATGTCTGCCTGTGTCTACGTCTATGTCTATGTCTATGTCTATGCCTACGTATAGGGGACCTATATGCGTATGTATATGTAAATGTATACGTATATACATATACATAAACATACACATACGCGTATATGCCTATGCATGTACATAGACATATTATACATTTCCGACCCCAAACCCATATACAAAAACATATAAATATACATACACGTATACATACACATATACATATACATATACATGTACATATACATACATATATATATATATATGTATACACAAAAACATACATTTATTTATTAAGCTATGTATGTATATATATATATATATTTTCTTAGTTATGTATATATATATATATGACCGCAGCCTGGGTAAACTGTCCCCGTGTTCTGGGTCCGCGAGGTCGAGTGGAGCGATTCGCCTCGGGCGAAGATCCCGAGCCGCAGCGCACCCCAATCCATCTAAGTCAAACACCCTAAAGCTTCAAAATTTAGGCTTTCTGCATTTAGGGGAAACCCAAACCCAAAACCGTCTCCGCCCCCAGCCCCAGCTGAAAGCTGGGCAGTTCACCAGGCGTCGACCGAGGGGTCTGGCCTTAACCATCGTCTCTGCAACCATCTTTCCAAAAACATGTCAGTGGGATTAGATGGGATTAGCGATTCGCCTGGCAACTCCCTGCAGGTAATTCTAGCACCAAGAAGAAAACCGTGAGTTTTCAACGACAACTCCCCAATCTCCTTGTCAACGTTTCGCTTCTTGAGAGCACGGCGGACGCTCGGGGCGGCTCTGCGGTTACGGGGCTGCACCTGCAGCACATGGGCCTCGGAGGGACGACGCTTCAAAAAGAGGCCGCACTGAGCCGGCTAAGGGGTCCACGAAAGCGGAGCCAGAACTGCTGCCTGGCACTGCGAGAAGCCAGAGTCTGTGGCGATCGTCTGAAGATGCTTCGTCACCTGAAGCGCTTTGGCCCTCAGGCGGCATGGCACGAAATCGATGAGTAAAATGTCGTGGCTTCATGTTGGTTATGCTTACGAAAGCAGACCGCTTCCTATGAAAGCTTTTAATTGGAAACTTACGGTTCGAGGCCAAGGACTCAAGACAAGGTCTGAGGTAGCTGTACACTCCGGGTCCCGGAGTTGCGAGTTCAGTCTGCGAGCTTATCAGTGGCTGAAGGGTGGGTTTCGAGGTGCAAAGTGTCAGGGTGTTACAGTGCAATGTTGGCTTCGCTCGAGGCTTGGGGCGTAGGGTTTTCGCAAAATTCAGCAAACAGCTACGACTGCTGTCCTTCCCTTGTTGACACTGTTGTGATGAATAGGCTGTCAAAGCGAGAACAACAGGCATGGTTGTGTTTTGGTGAGGACTGGTGCCCGCTTGAAGGGAAGCTGGCGCACCAAAATTCGTTCTGGAAGTGTTCGCAGATGGAACCCCACCCGAAGGACGCGACATGGCTGCCGGCACATAACACCCAGCGTGCACTGGCAGCACGGCTTTTGTCCGAGTCCGCCCGAGTGGTCCGAGTTCGCGTTGGAGAGCTCAGATGACTGCAGGAGCTGCTGGTGTGTCTTCTCAATGAGGGTGAAGTGGTTATGCTTCAGCTCTCGCCGAATCAATCCTCTCCGTTGCGGTACTTCTCCAGTCTTTCAATGCTGCCTCGCAGCATGCGACGAGACATGAAGCACAATCTACACACCTGAAGTGAAAAGTGACCAGAAAAGTAGCAAATCACGTCACAAGCTCTTGGAGGGTATCGCTACCGAGGTGCCGGTCTCAATGTACTGGTCAATCTTCTTAACAGTTTCCTCGCAGCGATCGGGCCACAGCATGCCAAAGGTAGGTACGACGAGGGCTTGCGGTGCTCGCACCTTTCCGACACCCTTCAGATGAGCGATCGACTTTCCCGAGATGACCTGCGGATTCTGATGGCGACCGAAGCCTATGAAAACTCGAGGCACCTTCTCGTCCAGCCCACGTAGAGTAGCAGCCACCTCGCCAAGCACCAGTTCGCAAGGCCAAAATGTACAAACGCATTCCAGAAGCTGCAGGAGCCCCGACATTCTTGTAGGCGACGCCGGCAAACTTGCTGGTGCCTCCTTTCCTGAGGTACGAAGCACTTCAAAACCTATGCGGGCATCAGCTCCACAAACGCAAGGCTTGGAGAAAGAGCGTCGCAGGCTATGTGGATGTGAGGCAAGTCTAGTGAGATTGGGAGATGCCCTCCGCCGCCTTGGCGGGACTGTGGTGGAGCAGGAAGGTTCAACCCGTCACAGATCAGAACGCGTGCTGGCCCAATAGCTTCGATTCGATTCCGGACGCAGGGCAGAACACTCAGCGCGGGCCTGGTTAAGGGGCGGGCCTAGCCAACAGTCAGTCAGAGGTGGGGGCAAGCTAGGCCGGTAGCTCTCTAGATGCCCTGCTCGGTTTCCTGCAACATGCTCGGGTTTGGTGATGGGATTGTCAATAGTGTGTTCTGCTTTGGTCTTCAATTCTCCGACCTGTCCTAAACACGGCAAGCATGTGAAATTGTCTTGGTGTTGCTTCTCTCCTGATGGGAGTTGATGTACGGGTAGTTTCTTCGCTGTGTTGCGGTTCTCGCTGCGTGCATATATGTAGGTATATCTGCATGTATGTGTCGTCTACATGCAAACAGGTAGTTGGTTGTATACTTACATGTAGAGATGCTTAAGAAGAAAAGGTGGAGTCAGATTATCGCATCTGTGCCTGCCACGGCGCTTGCTTGAGACTTTTGAGACTCGGCAGACATGTGTATGACTTGGGTGTTGCCAGCTTTAGACCCCTCTGTGTTGGTAAACTGATTACAACAGGCACTGCATGTGACGAGACTGCCACGGCCACAGCGTCTGCTTGGCTGCATGCTGGAGCAAAGACTACATCAGCCATACCTGAAGCTTGAAGAGCGCCAGTGATCCTACCTCCCCCGACCAAGCGGGTGTGCTGGTGGTCTGGATGGCTCAGGCCCGGGATCATGTAGATTGAATGATAGATAGATAGATAGATAGGTAGATAGGTCAGGTTAGGTTAGGTTAGGTTAGGTTAGGCTAGGCTAGGCTAGGCTAGGCTAGGCTAGGCTAGGCTAGGCTAGGCTAGGTTAGGTTAGGTTAGGTTAGGTTAGGTTAGGTTAGGTTACGTTACGTTACGTTAGGTTAGGTTAGGTTAGG